CCAGTTTGTAAAGGTTTTTATCTTTAACCGCAACAACGACAGCTAAAGTATTTTTTCCATCACTGCGGGCTTGATCTTCATCAGGTACACGAATCCTTACTGTATCACCAACAATAGCTGCTGTGTATTTGGAATTTGATGTATTAATCATTTTTTCTGCTTGCTTTTTAAGATTAAACAAAGCCCTTGTTTTAGACACACTTCTTATTTTTTCTTCTTTTTTTGGATTAATTGTTTGGACTGTTTCTTTTTCATTCACCAATTTTGTAATACTAATAATATCCTGGTTTAGATTTTTTCACGTGAAGACGATGTAGATCTTTGAACTTCATCAGTTATATTGCTATGTAAGGGTTGCATTATCAGATGATATTTCATAATGTTTTCTTGGATGGTACCCGGACTTTCAGAGTTTGAGCAACTTTGACTTATTTCGTTGATAGTTTTAAAATGTCTCTGTAGATCCTCTTCCGTATTGACGTTGAACAACGATTCGTTGGGTATAAAATTCTTTAGTCCAACTTTTAACTTTGCTCCAAACATGGCCTCATAGGGGCTGCAGTTTATACCAGTATAATGCGCTCAATTTTTAATCAGTAGTACAAAACGTAATCCTTCCGACCATTTGTTAGTATTGTTAATCTCCAACCAAGAACTAAGCATATTTTCTACGTTTTGATTACATCTTTCTACTGAGTCCTGACTTTGTGAGTGCCTGGGCTTTCCATGCACCATTTTTAACTCAGACCGTATATTACACATTTGTTTGATGATATTATTGGCGAATTCTCTGCCATTATCGCTTTGTAGAATACTTGGTGCACTGCAAATTGTAAAAATATCTAAAAGACCATATGCTACTTCTTCAGCACTTTTGGTTTTTAACTCGTTTAATCGGTTGTTGAAGCGATTATTCATATCACTTAATGATTCCTTCATGATCGTTCTTTTGTCAAAGAAGAAAGATTAACTACTGGTCACATAAATTTAAAGTTCGGTACTAAATGCAATACGCATGAGCAAGTAAGATGTAAGTTCTGATTGGCTAACGTATGCCGAATGATCACTTCTCAACGTATTATTATCACTTTGTCCGACTAGGTGGTAGCAGTATTCATAATGACCGGTCAATTTGATAAATTATTGAAATTTATTACAATGCCCGATTTTGTTGGTCATTATTCATAATGCCCGGGCATTATTCATAATGCCCGTATTAATCACTTTGTCCATAACATATATATATATAGATTAATAAGTCTTAAAATAATGCAAATATTAAGTAAAATTTGATTTCAGTGAATAATGAATCTGTTATATCATATATTTTTAATAAATACTAATTTTTTTTATATTTTTAGTGAGATATAAAATGATTCAAATATATAATAAAAAAAATTTATTTTTTATTTAAATGTTATATTAATACCAATAAAATAATTGCTAAAATTTTATTTTCTTATAAAATTTAATATACTTTAATTACATTGTAATTAACTTTTTTTACCTGTCTAAGGATTCATTCTTTAATGATATTTTGTTTTATTTAAATTTTAATTTATTGAGTTCTTTTAACTTCATTTTGTTTTCTTGTCTATACTCCAAATACATTTTTATTCTCTTTTTAGTTTGTTTTATAAACAGGGTCCATACAGACCTGGAAAGTCAGAGAATAAGATCTTTAGCATCACAGGTCAGGAAAAGTCAGGGAATCTGCAATTACCATGGAATCCATCTCTCACTCTCACTTTTTTTTTTATCTGAATATGGCTTTAAATTCAGTTCAGTATAGGGCAAGGGTGGTAAACCTATGGCCCATAAGGAGAAATCATTGGTACATAACTTATCATATGATTTCAATTTATCATTTGTCTTTTTCAGTCATCCTTTGAGTTTATCACCCAACCATGTTTTTTTCAATCAGCTTTTTTACATTTATTCTAATTAAAGCATATTTGTTTAATTTATTTAAATATTGTTTTTCAAAGTCTAAAACTATGGCATGTATAAACATCTTTAAAGTTAAGTATGCTTACTATATGGCATGTGGACTCAAAAAGGTTTGCCACCCCTGGTATAGGGGGCCTACGAAAATTGAAGTGACCAAAAAGTACCAAGATTTGTCTTGCTTATATCTTGTAAACTATAAATGATAACCTAATGATTTAAATTTTATTGGATAGAAGGATTGTCTGTATTTAAAATGATTGGTAGTGGGTGTGCTCAGCTGTGCAGGGAGGAGTAGCAGTTGTGCATGAACACTGAAAATGGCAATGCCATGAGGCATTTGGGCAGTGAAACTTTGGATTGTGAAGAGATAGAGTGTTGAAATTGGTGTTGATTTGTATCGGAATGATGAGATCTACAATATTATTTAGCAATAATAACCAATAAAATAGAATTAAGTTACCAGCCAATAACTGTGAATTGAAGAAAATTTTCTTAATGTCTAAGAAATTGCAAAGGAAATACAAACAGAAATGTAAGAAATGTAAATCATTGAAAGTAAAAATTTAAAAGGAATCAGAAAAACCCAAAATGACTAATGTCAAATGATGCAGATTTTATGGAGAAGAGCATAAGAAAACAAAGTGCATTAACTCATGGGAATACTTTGAGTGTACTACCACCTGAATCGATAGATATTGACTTGTGATAACCACCAAGTCTTTATTCATATACATCTTATCCTCCCTCTAATAACACACAAAGACAGATTCATGCCTTAAACAATTATGATTGTGTCCCTGTACACAACCCTCCCAATTTTTTTGACCTGCATGACATCTGGTTAACCTTGTGCAATCAGTTGATGCCATGGGGGAGGCAAAGAACTGTCAGTCAGCTTAACAATATTGTATACAGGACATTTGGACTGCATGGCAAACCTCATGCAATCCATTTACAGTATGTTTATTTGTTTATTTGTTGTATTTTTCACTGCTGGCCACATGCAGTATGTGGAGATAATAACCCTGCCAATTTTGGCAGATTGATGATCTGTCTTCTTTCTAACTGCAAATTTTCATCTTCAGATGACCCATGGAATTTTGGAAGTCCACATTTTTCAGAAGTATACCAAAATATCACCATAGAGTTAAAGTTGTTTTCAAAAACAACATCAACAACAACCCACTTTTTCACCAAAACTTTGCCACTCCCATTATAATTTTCAGGAAGGGATGGGAAGAAATGTAATGACCTTAAATGGGTCTGTGCTGGAACCAAAAATAGTATACAAGAAGGGATTTTTTTCCTCTCATGGAGTGTGCAATTTATTCCATTTAAACTATTTTGAATTTCCCATTTCTTTGCTTTAAGAAACTTTGATTTTATAATGTGAGTCTTTTTCTTATTTAAATAAAATTTATGAATTAATTTAAATAAAATCATGAAATTTTTTATATGACATAGTTTTATGTGAAGTTTTTCATTTTTTGTGAATAAAGGTTTTTTTAATAAAAAAAAATTTATTTACTTGTATACAAAATGGGCTTAAATAGACTTGGCCAAATATCATGTAATGGAAAGGGAAAATGCAGAGACCTTAATAGGTCAGGGAATAATGTTGTAATTGATCAGGGGTTCACAGATGGAATTACCTGTATGGATTCGGTATAAATGTAAACAGTAAATGTCTTGTAAATGCTCATGTTTTTCTAATGTCATAAACTAACAGAACTTTACTGTATGTATCACATATTACAGACAAAATTTATTATCTTATATAGCAGCTTCACATGTTTAAAATTAATAAATTTGTTTAAATTCTTTGTAGAATCTTTTAATATTTAGAAAGATAAACATACTGCAATGCTAAAGAACATTTTTATAGCATTTTTGGCCACAGATAGCCTCTTTCTTAGTCAAATTGAACAGAATGAAGAATAAAGTGAAAAAATTTGAATTAAAAAAAAAAAACTCTGTTCTATGGATAATATATAGCTAATGTAAACTACAACAGTGAAATAATAAAAATATGATTACAAAAATACTGTTAAAAATAAAAGTTGACCAGTTGATTTTGTTTGTTGACTTAAGAAGTGTTTCACAAGGAAATAATTTTGCAGAATTTTCTACTCTTCTTACAAGTTTCACTGAATGCCAAATCATTTCTTATTGATTTAATAGAAGGAAAAAAACTAACTATTTTTTTTTATTAATGATATCACTTTTGTACTCCATTAGTATTAGCCCTTTAAGTAGTAGTTTATAGCATTTGTAAAGTGAAGTATTTTATCATCAGCTTGTATAAGAATTTTGTAGACTCCTGGTAAATCCAAATCCAAATATGGATCCTTCTTAGAGTTTGGAGGCTTCTTATAACTTTTCAAAGTTAAAAGCTTTTTCCATTTTATTCCTGTTTATAATTCTTGTAAGAATTCTTTTACTAATTTTTTAAAATATATTTAAATCTTATTAGTAACTTATTCTACTAGATTCTTTATCAGAAATTTAAAGCTTTAAACTTTCAAAACTTTTTAACAGATACATAAATATCTTAATTTTTATTGTATTATTAGATTTGATATAATTGATATAATTTTATAAACATAAACATGTCTATAAACATAGTTTCACATAGTATGGTGGCATAGCTGTTTTTTCTTTATATTCTTGATCTCAATGATTTTTTTTCTATTGATACTTCAAAATAAATTAAAATATTTAGGAATGAAATATATCAATTTATATTCAATTGATTTTAGCGATTGGAAATATAATATGATAGGAATTAGATGATAATGTTTATGATTTTGACAGGCAGAATGCTATTATAATTGTCAAGAAATTAATTTTTTGAAAAATTAAAACATGTGAAGATGATATTGATAGAAGAGTGCTATTTTAAGAAAACGGATAGAAGGAGTTGTGCATAAACTAGTAGAATTCTGTAATTAGATTAGTACAATTAGAATAGATTATGAACATGCTTATGTATATATTTTTAATTAGCATTTTACAGATTTTTCTACAAAGTGAGATATTTCTATTGTTTGAAATTTTATTATGTGATATTATTATTATTATTATTATTAGAGGCTTATATAGTTATAATGTTTTTTTTTTCATTTATATACAGTAGAGCGTCGATTATCCGAATCAATTGGGGACTGGGGTTGTTCGGAAGATCGATGTTTTACGATGTTTATCGATGATAACCGATTATGTATGAAAAAATATATTAATTTATCCCATGTTGACATTTTTCTCCGTTGCGTGTCACTTCGCGTTGAATTTTCGTCGATGTTAGGCCTAACTAAGGCTATTGTATCGTTAAAAATTATTTCTTTATTTTGTACAAACAAAATAAATATATTGAAAAATATAAAAACAATAAAAAATTATACTTCAGAAGTTAATTTAGTATCAAAAACGTAAAATATTTGAGTAGCCGAAGACATAGCCAAAGATTGCAGCGCCACAGCACTGGCAAAAATTTAAATTTGCCGACTGGAATTCTTTCGGATGATTGACTTTCAGATAATCAATGCTCTACTGTAATTGTAAAAAATATATTTGTATTTATTTTTTTACTTATTTAGAAAGGTGAAAATGTATCCTATATTAATTATTATGAAGTATGTTGTGGCAGCACTGATTTACGAAGTCCTCGTTATTGGATGTATCATCAACAGATTTGGTATGTTTAGTTCTTTTTAAGATTAATATAAATTTATTTTCAAAACTAGATTTTTCTTTTGCTAATTTTATGTAATTATAACTTACTATCTAAATGGGCTTACTATCTCAAATTTATACATGTTTTATAATTGTTAACTGCAATAATGATATAACATAAAAGAAAACTTTTAGAGGAATTTCTAAATTTAGTTCTTAAAATGTTAGAATATTCTATAGATATCTCAATTCTTTTATTTTTTTCCTCTTAGATGTATTTTCAACACCAATTGGTAGACTGGAATAATATAAACACTTCAGTCCAAAAGCCTTAATTGTATTCCAGTGAGAATTTAATTTGAAATAAAAATTTTAAATTAATGTTTTTGATCTACGAAAGGAGATCATCTTCAGATCTGTATATTTGATGATGGAATGATTGAATAGAACAATGACATTTTTTGAAAAATTAAATGAAATAAATTCTCGAAATATATAAAAATGTATAAAGTAAATAGAGGTACCAAAAATATAAAAATAAAAAGTAAACACTTAAAGAATATAAATATAAGCAAGATAGTTGTTTTTATATTTATATTATATAAATATAAAAACTATTATATACATGGCAATCTTTATATGATCACGTAACAAACTATGACAACATGACATAAGGGCATTATGACAAAAAGTTCTCTTTATTTTTATTAGAAATAAATTCTCAAAAAATTTTTATTTCAAATTAAAATCTCACCAGAATACAATTAAGGCTTTTGAATTGAAATGTTTTAGATGTATTATTGAATATTGAAAATTTTTAAATTTACATTCATTATTTTTAAAAGTCCAAAACATGGTATCAATTTTTCTCACCAAAAATCAGTTTCAGTTAAGAAATATTTATTCAGTATTTATTGTTGAGATAAATACTGAATAAATTCTTAATTTTACAAAATGTTTTTTTTAATTAATTGATGTGTTATATTGATATTCATGTGAAATTTGAAAATAAAATACCCCAAAGTATTTAAATTCCTAAGAAAAAAAATGGAGACGACACTCTTAAGGAGCAGTTTAAAAAAATACACTTACCTTTTTTCTATTCTGAGACTTTTAAATGGAAAGAACAAGTATTTTTAGTAGCTGATGATGCCTTTTTCAGATTCAAATTCTAAGAATTCAAAATAAAATTTTCAAATTTAGTCAAACTTTCAATTTGTTTAAATGATCAGTTATGCTTTGACATTTGACATGAAATTTTTCAACTAAATTATATAAAAATTTGACAAAAATGTTTTATGTAAATATATAAATAGTAAATATAAAACATAAAAAATAAGTGTAAAAGAATCTAGATTCAAAATAAACTATAGAATAGATATTGTATAAACATATATTATCTAATACTATATAATTAATTAATTCTTGATGTGAAAGTTAGAATATGTATCAAGTATAACTATTCTGTTATAATTAAATTATAAAATTATTTTCTGAAGTTTTTGGTTTGTAACATGTTTTTAGATATTAAGTAAACATTAAAAATCAGCAATTGCAATCTTTTCAATAACCATATATAAATCTATTGAACTGTTAATGTGAACAATACAATTAATGATATTTAATATATGGAAACATATTCTGGATTGAAAGAACAGAAAATAAATAAACTTTATAATTAAAGAACGGTCAAAAGACTAGACTCTTTCCAATGTTACACCAAGAAGCAATTATATAGTGTTAGATAATGCACACTTATACATTATCTATCTAATGATATTTTTGAATTTTTTTTTAACTTACATTTTATTTACTTTATTTTTATTATTTATGTAATTTGTGCAAAAAATATTTCATGTAACTTGTTCCAGCTTAACTGATTAGTTTAATTTGAAAAAAAGTTATTTTGAATTCTTACAATTGGAATTTAAAGGAAGCAACAGCTGCCAAAACTGTTCTTTAGAATATAAAAATAAACTTCAGTAAAATCCAAACATATATATTTTTTTAAATTGTTGGACTGTTAATTTTATTTATGTAGCTTTAATAAAAAATTAAATAGTACTTAACTGATAAAGGAATTTGTACGGATTTTGGTAAATTATTTAATTTGATTTTTGAATACAAAAGAATTTATTTGTTAAATTGATGCAACAGTCTTTTCTCTTCATCAAAAATTATGAAAATATTTTTGTTATATGAGAAAAAGAATGACATAAAATTTTATTTTTCTCTTTTATATATTTTTTGAATAATTAATGTTTCAAATGCTAACGTTTTTCTTACTTTATATTAGGAATATATTGATTTGTACATCAAGCAATTCAATAGAAACAGGAGTTTTGGGATTGAAAAATGATAATAAGGTAATCTAATATTAAAAATGTAAAATTTCCATAAGCTTAATCTATATTGTAATAATATGCATATACTTATTTTGAAAACTCAAATGTTAATACCTAAAGTGATATTTGTTTATGATTCATGTCATTATTGTTTTTATTACATTTTTAATGAAATTTGAACTTGATTTAAATATAAAATTTATTTATTCTTTTTTATAATAGTGTTCTTTAATTTTCTTGTAGTTTCTGTTTGAATATATTGTAACTTTATTTTTCATGATTATTTTTTAAAATCTAAATAAGTTCAAGTTTTTTCAGTGAATAGGCCTGACTTTATACAGGACACCCTGTATGTTAAAATAAAAAATTTTAGTTTTTCTAATCTAAATAATAATAATAATAATAATTGTTAAATAATGTTTTCAGTTTTTTAATTTTATCAATTATTTTGTGCGATGTTGTCAGATCAGTTTCAGGTTCCATTATGAGCTCTTCAATGTTCTTTATTTCTCAGATAATATTTTGATTAGAACTTATTTTGATTAGAAATTGGTTGTAAAGAAGGCATTACTCATAAGTACACTATATTCTTGCTAATTCATCTATTCCTTGCATGAGAATGGTGTCAGATTAGCGAGAGTATCAGATCAATGAGAAGATATAGGCCTAAAGGTGATGAATGACGTGACTTGTTACGCTTGGGTACTGATTCTTTTCAGAGGCAGGTGAACAAATAATAAGGCATGCTGATATGCAATAGTCTACGCAGAAATTAAATCAAAGTAAGCAGGAAAACAATGTATGGCATGACTAACATTTTTGTGGTAATGGAATTACATAAGAGATCACACTGGGGTGTATGCCAAGTTATTATGAGCTTGATTAGCAAGAAAGTACTGTAATTTAATAAATGATGATTTAAATATTTGTATTGAGTTAAGCAGTTTCTAAGGAACTTTTGATAAAGTATTTTGAATAATGCTTAATAAATTTTCTTATCAAATTTATATATGAAATTAATTTGTTTCCTATAATAAATGTTTGTTAAATTAAAAATTTTTGGAATTAGTTTTTGAAAATGAAAATTTATGTTATTTTTTTTAATGTAGTCTTTAATTCTCCATGTCCATTCAAGTAGCAATATTATAATTTAAAGTTCAATTATGCCAGAGTAGAAAATGGCTACCTCACACAGGCAGTTATGCAAAAAAATTATACACAAGAACATGTGTAAGGTGACAAATTTCCATAGTGGTTTTTTGAGGGCCTGTGATAAATGGGGAAAATTTTTTCAACTGAAATTTTTACACAGTCAGATGAATAGCATGTAACTTGAGGATATTATAGAAGTGCAGCTAAGTAAGTCAATTTGATGAAAAATTACCACAAAAATATTAGCAAGTGCAGAAAATCACTGCTATCACATGCAGTTGCACACTAATATATTTCTGGTGGCTTTTTTCAAAAGTCCAAACTGTTCTTCTCTTTTATGATTGTTTTCTGTTTATGTCATATATTAATTTTAAGAATTTTGTAATCTTGAGCAACAAATCAGTAACTGATCTGTTGATTAAATCTTCCTGATGTGATATACTCAAAAGTGCTTGAGGTTTGCTGTTTTTTTCAATTATACTTGTATTAACACCTATAAAGTACAATGGGTGATTGGTTAACAAACAGTTCAGTTAACAAACAAATCGGGTAATGAACACTTTCGCAAAAGATTTTTATATTCAGACAATGAACATCTGACAGAACAAACACAAGAAGAAGCGATGTAAAATAATGAATACTGATTGGTCTTCTCTTGTCTTCAGGCAACAGTTTGAAACTTTTTGGAGTGCAGGAGCCGTCAACATCGATGCCCAACCCAGTATATACTGATTGGATAGTATTCCTCCAAACTTTGAAACGCATCCTTGTAATTCCAGTCTTTTATTTTTCTGACAGAAAAAATTATTTTATAGTATTTGCAAGACTGTTGGGCAGTCACTCGTTAAGTTTTGCATGGATTTTTATTTTCGAAAGGTGAGAGTATAATAGCAAAGGTAGAGAGTGGACGGATAATGTCTGATGTTGCTGAGCAGTAGGCTTGACAGGTCTACTGTAGGCCACAGTTCAATTTATCTAAGAAAGATACAGTATAATCAAGAAGATTCAACCAGCTTAAGGAATAACAAAAATCATATCTGAGAAATAAAGAACATTGAAGAGTTCATAATGGAACCTGAAACTGATCTGACGACAGAAGAATGCCAAGAACTCTTGAATGAAGAACACCAAGAAACTCAGCAACCATATGTTTTCTTTTGAAAAAGAGGATTAATGTCGATATCTGCTATTAAAGATCTTTTGAAGAAGTGGGAGGCTGTCAGAACAATGGTCTTAGAATGGCATCCAAACCAGGTTGAGGTTAATAGGCTTAGGGATCTCTACAATTACAATGCTATTAATTACTTCTGAAAAATCCTAAAGAAGAGAGAAAAGCAATCAACATTAGACAGATTCTTTAACCCTTTCAAATGGAAAAAACATGACTAATAAAAATGCAAGACTGTGTATATGTGTGTTTTTATTATTACATATAAATAAACGTAGTAAGAAAGTATATATATTATTTATTTTTTGGAGTTTTCAGAATGAATTAATTAAATTCCCATAAAAACATATGGTAAATCGATAATCAGTTAACAAACAATTCGGATAATGAATGAAGTCTTGGAACAGATTATGTTCGTTAACCGATCACCCACTGTATATTCATTGAACTTTTATTTGTGTAGTTCTATTTTGTTAATCTTAGATTTTAAGATTTTTGGGGGGGGAGATATTTAAAGATTTTCCAGTCTGATTTAACCAGCTGTTTCCTGTGTAGAGTTTTACAGTTCATATATTTATATAATATATTTCAGCCAATTTGGGAACAATGGATACTTGAAGAAACTTTGAGAGCTGATCTTCCCCTGATAAAAAATCAGGAAACTTATCCCATGGGAATGTCTGTGATTAATTGTTCACAAAAACCAATTGTTATTAGTAAGTATTTTTAAATTTTTATCATTGAATTTAATTTTTAAAAATGTAGTTTCTTTTTAAATTAAAAGATTAGTTATTTCTTAAGTCAAACTTTTTATGAATTTTTTTATTTAAAATTTATTTCATATAATTTTTGAATAAAATCTACACATTTAAATAATTCACTAAATGTTTTGAAATTTAATTATATATGGGGGAAATATATGAAAAAAATGAGAAATATGATTAATTGATTAGGATAAATGAAAAAGTTATTTTTGATTTTTATAAGATTAAAATGATATAAAATAAAAAATGAAAATACTTTTAGATGAAAAGGAATCCTTTCCTCCTATGCCAATTTTATTCTTATTATCTACGAAGGGATATCTCTGTCCTTTTCATATTGTGAATACTTCTGATGTACCAAGTGTGATTAGTCCTCCAGAACCAATTCCTATTGAGGGAAAAAGAAAAATAAATAGTATGTATATTTTATAAATTTTAAAGTACATTTAAATTAATATAATTATTGTTTAATTTTTGCTTAGTTTCAAATAATTTTATGCAAAATAAACAAAATTTAACATCAACTCCAGCCAATTTAAATAATGCATCAACAATCAATAAATTTCCATCAAATGCTCCAAGAATTAATCTTAATACAAGGTAAGAAAGTATTTGTTTCACTAGAAATAACATGGAATAAATAGTTTGTAGATAACTATAATAGTATTGTTTCAAATAAAAAAAATATTAAGAGAAGGGGAGAAAAACATTAAAATACCTAAAAAATAGCCAAATGTATTAAATTTTATTTTTATTAAATATATATTCCACATTTAGAAAAGTTCTGAGACTGTTAAATTTATAAAAATAGCATAAAAATCAATACATTATATGAAATAATTGTTGCTAATGATTATCTTTCAAATAATTTTTTTCTGTATTGATACGTCTTTAAGTGATTTCATAAGATTGTTGAAGCAGCTTTAAGAAGCACTTTCTAGAAAATGCTCTGTTACAATTTCTTCAATGGCTTGAATGTCACCTTTCAATGCTTGTTTAATTCATAAGGAGAAAAGCCATCAGATAACAATTCTAGAGAGCATGGTAATATGATGATTTCATGTTTTATCAGAATTTGATGGATGGTTCAGTCTTTGTTCATCCATTGTCATGAAACTATGAAGTAAGTGCTTGTGATTACATAAGTAAAAATATTGTTGCTTATCTAATAGTTCATTTCGGAACATGTGAAAGTGTGAATGTTGACAAAAAATGAATCACTTTTAAGCTTTATTTTCCCATTGCCAGACAATAGAAACAATGGGAAAATTAGTAAAACCCATTCAAATTAATTTTCTATTTAGTTCTGTTTCTACAAACTAAAATATTGTGATGAGAATTCTGTCAATTGTAACATTATCTGTAGCCATCCACAAAACACTATCTGATTTTTGGATTATAATCCTTGATGATTGATTTTGATTTTAACTATTTGAAACCATATATTTAAAAGAAGCATAAACAAGCATGGAAAAATGAGGTTTGGCTTTAGTTATAGAGAAAAAGTGTTTCTTTCCTCTTCTAAAAATAGTTCTGATTCATCGCTTCATCTTGCTTTATTTAGAATATTCTGTTATTTTCTTTTTTATGATGAGGAAAAGTTTGAATAAATTATAACTAAAGAACAGAACAATTTATAAATCAAAATGTAAAGATAATGAAAATTTACATAATTTATTATTTTAAATTTCTCTTAAGTTATGCAATTTTAATTTGTTTCTTATTTATAGAATAATTTCAGCGATAAGCTTATTATAGCCTATAGAGAATGAAAATAAATTTTAGTTGCCTTGTCTATTTTAACAACTAATTTTATATTTTAATATTTTAAAATATAAAATTATCAAAAAATTTGTTTAGTTAATGATACTATTAACTAAATAAATTAAATTAATACACTCTATTAGAATATCAGTGTTATATTTACTGTTTTAAAATTGTTATTTCTATAATAATTTATTATATTTCTCAAAATAATTTAATTAATTTATTATAAATGAAATGAAAAATAATAATGATTAGAAGTTATTTCATATAAGAAAATGTTTTGTAAAGTCATATATTTTAAGAAAATGTTTATTTTCAATTTATATTATTACAGCTTTAATGGTTTTATTTCACCAGTAAAAGATAACAATAGTTCATCATTTGTTTCATCTCAAAATAAAGATATTGTGGAAAAGAATCAAAATCAAAGCAGTCTTATCTCAGGTAAATATTTTAATAATACAATGAATTAATATACCTTAAACTTTGTAAAGTACTATATTTAGTTTGTTGCTCTACAATGAATTTTTCTTAAAGAGCCGGGACCTAACGGGTACTTTACGCGGGTTCGCATTTATTAGTTGCCAGGCCTGGACTTTTAGCATGCACCGAAATAAATTAAGGACAAAGTTAGTCACCAAAAAAACTCTCAATAATAAATGTTTAATCAAGTCTAACAAATACTATGTACAAGTTTTATAAACAAACAACAAATTTATTAAATAAAAAATCAAATCACAATCAACCCGACAAACTTAAGTCTTATTCTAACTTAGAACTATTTCCCTTGGAATTCCGACAAAACAAAATTCAACTCTTAACTTAGATATAAATTCTCTTATAATTATCAATCCTAACCGTCACCTCAATTAATACTCGGAACCTTTTCCTCTACTCAAGACTTTCCTCTTTTCAACTCATCAAACTCGAACCTTCAATCTCCTACTAGGATTTCCTATTCGACACCTTGGTCACTGCTACCAGCAGACCAACGCTTTCGGTTCAGGAGCTCACCTCGTCTGTCTTCACTTGAGCTACTGTACTTATAGTCTGAGGTGACGTCACAGTTCTAATTGAGACACTCCCCTCATTTACATATCTACACGTAACATTCTTGTTTTCTCTTCATTATCTGGTAGCTTATTTCTCGACAATACTTTAACCTTTTACAACATTTCTTTAACAATTATCGGGATGTTTAGTTGAAGGTTACACAAGTTCCTAGAAAGTCTATTGGGGTGTCCCCCCCTTCAGTGCGGACTTACAATTCTGCCGCTCGGGCATGCACGTGAGTGCGAATGCTAGCTATGGTGCTGTTGTTTCGTCGTCGGTGAGTTGGTTAATCTCTTATCTTCTCGTTTTGAACGTTCTGGGGTGATGGGTGAGGAAACCTTCGTCCTAACTAAACACAAGCCCCAAACAAAAATATAATAAAAGCAAAATAAAAGTAAAATAAAAATAAAGCTCGGACTTGGTTCCTTACACCTTTTTTGAATATTTTTATTTATAAGATGAATTGCTATAAATTATATTAGCATTTTTTATATATGTGGAGTGTTTCAAAAAGCTCATTATATTTCAACAATCTCAAATTTAAATGTATCTTTGATATGATCACTTAACCTGTGAATCCTGAAAGGATAACTGATTGATTAATTTACATAAACTTATTAAATTGTCATTTTATATTGTTATCAATGTGTATATATACAATATAGACAACAATGTGAGAGAACAAATTGCACACACACTTACAAATGCATGCACAGGAAAAAGGAAAAGATCAGTATAGACCAGTGTTTTTCAACCTTCTTGAATATGCAACTCCTTTACAATGTGAGATCAGCCAGGACATGATCTTAGTCTACGACACTTACGGCGCGTGATCGTGAGATCGGCTCTCGTAACGTTTTATAGGAGGGCGGTAATTTTAAGAAAAGGGGATTCAAGACTGTGAGGTCTTTATCCCAAATTGTCAGGGTCCCGACACTAGTTAATCAATCTTATTATACGTGGATTAACATGCGTAAGAGATCTGATCCGGTCACGCAATTAAAAGACATTCTTAATTAAAACGAAATAATAAATTTAATAGAACAAAAATTTAAATCATACAAAGAGTGGATAAACGAAAGACAGAACTACTACAACTAATATACAATTCAGGAGATAATTAAACTTATATTCTACCCTATTCGCTATCGAGAGAGAGAGCTCACAAAACGTTATAAAACATACGACCTGTTTAGTTGTCGTTCGTCTTCTTCTCTGTAGGCAAGTCCATTTACTTCTTCGTATGGGAGATCACTATGTGCACAAATATAAAAGTATATTTCCTACGTGCAGACTCTAGACTTATTCCATATGTGACTCGTCTAAGGACGTTGGTCATCAGGAGGGAAACGTATGTGGAGTTTGGACGCTTTCGGATCTGTCGCTGAACTCCCCGAATTCAGACAAGTTCCCTCTATATCTTCTGAATACCGACCAATCATCGGCCAGTAACTCTTTCGTGAGAACGGATGAAAGGGGGGATGAATGAGGGGTAACCATTTCCCATCTGAGCTGGATTTTAACCAGATAAGGGAAAGTCAGAGGATGTTCTCTTCTGTGAAAGGAAGTAACATCTGTTATCTGCCTTTTCCCACGTTAAAACAGTATTTTTCTCACCAAAAATGAAATAATATTTGGTGACATTATTTTAACGTAAATAATAAAATATTAATTTAGACCCAGGGGCCTTTCGGGTCTCACA